GACTTTGGGTTTTTGGAAATGTTCAGCCTTAAGGGGTTGATAGGTCAATCCATGCATCTTCCATCTCACAAAAATTCCCAGTTCGTTTGTCTTTGTTGCTCAAGTTCTTTTATGGTACAGGGATGAAGAAAGCATGGCACCCGTGTTCTCTGTTCCAAGTGTAATAAGCTAATTCTCTAACATGAAATGTCTTGTTGAGGAAGAAACCTTCTAAATCCAAAATGAAGCAGAGATTATCCTGTAACATCTCCACATTTGAAAATGAATGAATGATCACTTGCAAATGGGTCTTTATGAAATAGTTTGACCAATCAAAGCTTGCCACATCACTTTACTCGTCCCAGATCCAATTCCCTTCAAAGGGGCCTACAAACCCCCACTGTCGCCTTTCCATGCTGTCATTGACCAATCCTCCATTCCTCTTTAATTTTTCCTGATAAACGCGTTCTCGTTCCTGTTCTTCAGGGGTGCCATTTCTCAGTAGTTCAGAATACTGTTGGTCCCTTTCTCTGAATTCTTCTGTCCTTCTCTTTCTTTTTTCTTCTCTTTCTCGAATTTCGGCCTTCTGCCTCTCGATTTCTTTTTGCAGGGGTTTGGACAATTCCCTGAGTCGTGGATACCCTCCTCAAACTCCACAAAAACTCTTCCATCTCAGCTTTGGTTTTGCCTCGGGATTCTTGATCCACGCATTGGAAGAAACCAAACCGACCTTTGGGACATTTTAGGAATAATCTCCCAGGATTCTTCTCAGACTGAGACTTGGACATGATCAATGGATGATGGCAGTAACACTTCATGATGTGTACGGGTTTGGCTAGGTAGAAGTTGTTGAGTTGATGTTTTGCTGACTTTAAGTAATACTCTACATTGTCCACACCACAGCTGACAAAACAATTTTGGACGGGGCACTTGTAGTACTCCCAATGTCCTTACTGAGTGTTGGTCTCTTTCTTTTGTAAAGTATCATTTGGATGCACAGGGCAAGAGTACAGGATCTCTGTGCTCCCTTAGGTCAGTGGTGACGGATTCCTAAAGGGTTCTGGCTCACGGAGACTAGAAGGGTCTTATTTCCATTGCTGTGCGAGCCCGTCCAAAAAGATGCCAGGGTCAAAGATTTCCCCTTCCTCCAGGACATGCACTTCCACTTGTTCCCCTTTCTCTACAATGGGTGGGACTTTGTGAAATGTCTTTTCAATGTCTATGGAATGAAAGGAGATAAAATAAAATGTCATAACCCTAAAAGCGTGTTCTCTCTAAGCATGGTTTTGAGTATGTGAGTCACTATGTGCACACGTCTGGGTTTGAGTTCTTGCCGTCTCTAATGTCTTCGTTTTTGCTCCTCCTTTTGTTCTCTTCGTTACAGTGCAAAAGGTGTGGTTTTTGTTACCGTATTTATTTACCTATAAGCCGAACTATTTTTTCAGAAATTTGGACTTGTATCGACCAAAAACATTCCCAACAAAGGGGTTTGGCTTATAGCCGAGAGTTTGATCGACTTTTTTCTCTCTCAGGTGTTCAGAACTTATGGAAATGTCACGCAAATTCTGTGATCAGCTTGTAGCCAAGTCAAAATTAGTGAAACACAATAAATTACAATATTATAAAGACAAGATGAAATTGTTGGTCAATGAACTTTTATAGATTTGGTGGCTCCTAAAGGAGCCGTTTTTTGAAGAGCTTTCGACTGATAAACAGTTTACTTGCTATCGCTCTCGCCTTCCCTCTCCATCTCGAACTCGTTGTCTTCTTCATCGTCGTGGATTTCCTGCGCCTCTTCAGTGTACAGCTTGTCATCCTCAGTTCCATCCAAAGAGTTGGAGATTCCACAAGTNTTATCTAGACCATTCATCTGAGAAAGTTGGCCATAGCTGAAATTTACAGAGGGCGCCTCTTAATAATTTGAAAGACCTATAATGTGAAAGAGCTATAACTTGGTTATGATTTCGAAGTCTATCATTTTTAAGCACTGCTGCAAGGCACCTGAAACAGTATCAATGTGTCTAACTGAGCAGTTCATTATTGCCGGTGAGTATTTTTTTTTGTCATTTTAGAAAAGATTTAATTTTTTTAAGAAGAGTCACAAAGATTCAAAAATTCTTCTTGTCATTTATTGATACTCGAGGAACAATGAAATTGGATTTCAACTACATGTACATTGATATACCTTCAACTACACAATGCAACAAGAATTGCCAAAAGATTGGACTACAGGGTTGGTTGCAAAATTACCCAAAATCGGTGGTCTTAGGCAATGTAACAACTGAGAGGGATCTGGCTATTATCTGTCAGAAACAATCTAATTTCAATTTTAAATTTTATAGTCTAGTTTTTGTACTTTTATTGAATAGATAATATATTTGAATTTTACATTTTCATTTTAGCATACACGTTCACATTTAAACGAGCCCCAGGCTCGCTGGTGAAATGTGTCTAAATAAAGTAATTACTTACTACTAAGTTTTCAGCGAAGTGATCCTCAACAAACTCTCTATAGCAGTAGATCCACTGCTTTGTAGAGAACAAGGAAGCTTTAAGAAAGGAAGATCTTGCTCTGATATCATTTTCACTCTACAGCAATTTAATTTAAGCTTATTATGCACAACCCCATAAGCTACTCAGCTTCAAATTTTTTTATTGTGCTTAAATTAAGGTTGTCTGTCTGTCTGTCTGTCTGTCTGTCTGACAGCACAATTATTACAATGTCAAGAAAGTAATGCGCCTGTCTATGATAGTTTTAGAGACTTTAAACGGGTGTTCGATAGTATGCACGGCAACACCCTCTGGTGTATGTTAAAGCATTATGGTATTTCAGTCAAGATTATGAGTATCATTAAACTGTTGTATAGTAATGCCAAATCTAGCGTCACCTGTGGGAACTAACTTTCAGAGGTGTTTCCGATTTATCTCGTGTTAAACAAGGGTGTGTAGTTCATTTTTACTCTGAAAATTTGTAAATTATTATACTGTATGTATTATGTGGAATTTCACTCCTTCCTTTGTTCCTTTTTCTTCCAGTTAACTTTTTGTGAACCCATTGACCAACGCATAAAGCCTTCGAACTCGTTGTAACTCAAGGGACACAATGTCGAGTTTGCAGTCACTGATCAAGTTTTTAATGTGGGGGTAACTCAATTTCCTCACCATGTGATTTGCTTTATTGGCAATGTTTCACTCGTTGATCGTCACACGGTTGACAGAGGGCCCTTTAAGTTGGCACTGGTAAACCAAATGGAAGCTGAATAGCAGGTGACTGAATATAGCTGGATTTTGTTTTGCCGACCTATGCAAAACTGATAATTCTGGGTGCAACTTAAATGTTGTGTTGACCTAGCATTTTCCTGTGACAGCAAAATTTTCTTCTCATGTGACGTTAACTTTATAGATATTGGTGTGTAGAAAAAAAAGGCCTGAGAACTGCAAAAAAACTAAAAAAAAAAACAGATCGAGAAAAGTCAAGGGGCATGGATTGGTAAAACTGAAGAAGATGAAAATGGATCTGACATGGTCAAGCTTATTTCAACTTTAATATCATTTACATGGCCTAGAATCATGATCGTTGTTCGTTATGAGGCCGTGGTTTTACCTTTAAGAGAATTTTGTTCTACCAGCTTGAAGTTTAGAAGCTTACAATTGAGATTTACTTAAATTACCATGACCTTGACCCTTTAACTGTTCATTTTAGGAATCTTACAAAATCGTGTGGTACCATGCAGGACCAATCATTCGCTATTGTTTTAACTGTCTCAGAGATTTCCCTGAAGACTGAAGTTAAATCACCATACTTTGACAGATACAAAGAAAATTACGCTTACAACTAGATTTTGAGAAAATCTGCCTTGTTTGAGAATACCAGAATTGCTGCTATGATAATAGTATTCTATTTCACAACACTCCCATACACACTCAGTTGAAAAAAGACATGAGAATAATGATTGACCAACGCAGCCCTGCTTATCTGTCTCACCTTCCAAGGGTCACATTTCCCCATGCGAGGGACACAGTTAGTTTTTGGAACACCCCATTCTTATTCCCCCATTATCCTAAAACTTCAAGAACTGAGTGGCTAAAGCTGCCACATGCCAGACTCCCGCCTGTTTAAAAATGTTCAACCTTTCTGCTGAGATTATGTGCTTTTTATCTCACTGGCGACTTTAGTGGGGTTTCTGTGATAATCAACCCATGCTATCAGTCAAGGTGTCCCTGCCCAACTTGCAGAGAGATTTGATCTCGCAGTCAAATACATTACTCTTCTTCTGGCCCATGGTATTTTATAAGGCAATATTAAGGCAAACAAAAATTATCATCTAAAAATCCCAATGGAATTACTAATAGTGTGGTAAAAGGGAAAAATAAACGCTGCAAAGTCGACAATGAAATAACAGCTTTAGAGTGGTTGATTAAGAAAACCCTCATTCAAAACCGTTATAACAATGTGACAGCTTTTATTAGAGCAGCTATCCGGGAAAATTTCAGCCAGATTAATTGACATTTTAATTGATGTTAAGAATACTGGAAATTCAATGAAGTTTGAGCAGCATTATTTGGGGATAAGGGTGACAGGAAACCATGTTCAGGCTGAACTTTGCGCTTTGCATTATAACTACAGGTACTTGTAGAAGTAAAGATTGAGAACTAAACAAAATGAAACATTTGGTCACTTTAAAAAACTGCAAGTGAAATATTGCTCATAATACAAACCTTGTTTAACCAAGCAGAACGTCACTGCCACTGAGCATCTAACAAAATCGGTAAAATATCGAATCACTGAATCACTTCAATGTTACTTTTGGATAATGTATGACAACTTTTTCACCACACTTCTATATTGACAATGGCTTTAAAATGTCTAATGTAAGCAAAATTTAAAATGAGTTTTCTATAGAAACTCTCTTTCAATCCATTTTACAACACAACCTTGTTTAGAAAGAGCTAAGCTCTGATTAACTTATACTTTCAGCCATATCAACAATAAGAAATTATATTCAAATATTCTGACTTACTCCCTTTTCTCGGAGAGCTTTAAGTAGACGGTCCAGGAAAGCTGACCTGAGGAGGTCCTTATGTATTAGCAGAGTCTCCATTGCATTACATGCTGCAGGATAATCACATTTGGAATCCACCACTACAAAGAAATCCACATTTCAGTAGAATCTCGAAAAAGATACAGATTTCAAAGGTAAAATAACACAGCTCAGAGAGGCTGTTGATTCCCCTGATCATCTATTCAATAGTATTATCCAACAAATAGTTGAAGCTGGAACTGCAGATATATATTGTATTTTTCGTTATAATCCATCAAATATTTTTGCTCGCGTGCATCATGTGACTGAATATGCTCCAGCTAAAACTGGGGAATATCCAAGTGATATCCCCAGTTTTCAAAATTGCCCATGTTGCAAAAAATTTTTGAAGGATAATAGGCACAATAGCCTCCATCTGTCGCAAATATATGCTCGGATATTTGTCCTTGGACATTACCTGTTCCTCATATTATCTAACTTACACAAGTAATAAAGGACGCTCATCTGGGCAGTTACCAATAAGAGTGCAGTACATATCATTAAAAGTTGCTCTCAGCCAATCAGATGCAGTATTTGAGATTTGCATAAACAAGATGGCAGCTTTGAATTTCTGACCAATCAGGAGGCGAATTAATAATTCAAGAGTGATGATGTGACGTGTGACACCAGAAGTAATGCAACACTGATGGAAAACGTGACACAATTAAACCGGAAGTGTAACTTCATGTTGGAAACCAGCCCACCACCCTTGACAGAGGACCTGGGATCGGTCTCACAGATTTCCATGGTGACACAATCAATAGTCGTTAAAATACATACAGTATTTTCCACGGATTTCCATGGTGACACAATCGTTAAAAAATTGATAAAATACTTACAGTGTCTGGTCCCGAAATGCACAGAAGACGCTCCCGCAAGCAGCCATGGTGAAGACTGAGTGACTTTGGTCCGAGTTTGACCTATATAGGGTACTGCCAAGCATGCTGGGACAATGACCTCTTCAGTATCCAATCAGAATGAATTAAGGATATTGGCTTCCCTCAGTCCCCTCCCTTTAAATGAGTGAAACACTCACAAAACAAAAGATCTCTCAGTAGAGATGAAAAATAAGGGGGTACCCCCGAAAGTCAATGATCACACAGAATTGAAAATGAAAAAACTATTTTTAATCACTTGTTTGCATGTTTTGCAATGAAACTTTTGTACCACTACCAAAAAGCATGACATTCAGTGACAGGACAATGATGAACAGTGTCATTGGCACGAAAACCAACAATTTCTCTTGGGGAATGACGTGTCTGAGTTTGTCATATTTAGGACAACCTAAAGTTTCCAGATTGAGACAAGGAATGTTCAGTTTCATTAACAGATCTTTCTTTACATGTCCTCCCTTGTGTCACACCACAGTTATTTCACCATTACTGCAATCTTTGTACATTGAGTATATGTCCTTGATCAGTTCACCAAGGACTTTGGGTTTTTGGAAATGTTCAGCCTTAAGGGGTTGATAGGTCAATCCATGCATCTTCCATCTCACAAAAATTCCCAGTTCGTTTGTCTTTGTTGCTCAAGTTCTTTTATGGTACAGGGATGAAGAAAGCATGGCACCCGTGTTCTCTGTTCCAAGTGTAATAAGCTAATTCTCTAACATGAAATGTCTTGTTGAGGAAGAAACCTTCTAAATCCAAAATGAAGCAGAGATTATCCTGTAACATCTCCACATTTGAAAATGAATGAATGATCACTTGCAAATGGGTCTTTATGAAATAGTTTGACCAATCAAAGCTTGCCACATCACTTTACTCGTCCCAGATCCAATTCCCTTCAAAGGGGCCTACAAACCCCCACTGTCGCCTTTCCATGCTGTCATTGACCAATCCTCCATTCCTCTTTAATTTTTCCTGATAAACGCGTTCTCGTTCCTGTTCTTCAGGGGTGCCATTTCTCAGTAGTTCAGAATACTGTTGGTCCCTTTCTCTGAATTCTTCTGTCCTTCTCTTTCTTTTTTCTTCTCTTTCTCGAATTTCGGCCTTCTGCCTCTCGATTTCTTTTTGCAGGGGTTTGGACAATTCCCTGAGTCGTGGATACCCTCCTCAAACTCCACAAAAACTCTTCCATCTCAGCTTTGGTTTTGCCTCGGGATTCTTGATCCACGCATTGGAAGAAACCAAACCGACCTTTGGGACATTTTAGGAATAATCTCCCAGGATTCTTCTCAGACTGAGACTTGGACATGATCAATGGATGATGGCAGTAACACTTCATGATGTGTACGGGTTTGGCTAGGTAGAAGTTGTAGAGTTGACGTTTAGCTGACTATAAGTAATACTCTACATTGTCCACACCACTGCCCGTACTGAGTGTTGGTCTCTTTCTTTTGTAAAGTATCATTTGGATGCACAGGGCAAGAGTACAGGATCTCTGTGCTCCCTTAGGTCAGTGGTGACGGATTCCTAAAGGGTTCTGGCTCACGGAGACTAGAAGGGTCTTATTTCCATTGCTGTGCGAGCCCGTCCAAAAAGATGCCAGGGTCAAAGATTTCCCCTTCCTCCAGGACATGCACTTCCACTTGTTCCCCTTTCTCTACAATGGGTGGGACTTTGTGAAATGTCTTTTCAATGTCTATGGAATGAAAGGAGATAAAATAAAATGTCATAACCCTAAAAGCGTGTTCTCTCTAAGCATGGTTTTGAGTATGTGAGTCACTATGTGCACACGTCTGGGTTTGAGTTCTTGCCGTCTCTAATGTCTTCGTTTTTGCTCCTCCTTTTGTTCTCTTCGTTACAGTGCAAAAGGTGTGGTTTTTGTTACCGTATTTATTTACCTATAAGCCGAACTATTTTTTCAGAAATTTGGACTTGTATCGACCAAAAACATTCCCAACAAAGGGGTTTGGCTTATAGCCGAGAGTTTGATCGACTTTTTTCTCTCTCAGGTGTTCAGAACTTATGGAAATGTCACGCAAATTCTGTGATCAGCTTGTAGCCAAGTCAAAATTAGTGAAACACAATAAATTACAATATTATAAAGACAAGATGAAATTGTTGGTCAATGAACTTTTATAGATTTGGTGGCTCCTAAAGGAGCTGTTTTTTGAAGAGCTTTTGACTGATAAACAGTTTACTTGCTATCGCTCTCGCCTTCCCTCTCCATCTCGAACTCGTTGTCTTCTTCATCGTCGTGGATTTCCTGCGCCTCTTCAGTGTACAGCTCGTCATCCTCAGTTCCATCCAAAGAGTTGGAGATTCCACAAGTCTTGAAGGACTTCTTTCTAGCCGGAGTATAGTTGAACGGGCTGCTGATCATCCACACCAAGTACTTTCTTCGGACATTATCTTTGAACGGCTTGTTCAAGCACTTGTCTAGTGGCTGCAAAACAGGGGTCAGGCCTCCAGGGATAACTGCTACATCAATTTCCCGCTGGTTGAGATCTGCTTTCACTTCATCGGTCAAGTGAGTTCGGAATGAGTCCCACACTAACAGCAACTGTTCGTTATGAGGGGTCAGCGGCAAGCACTGGCGAATCCACTCCTTCACACCTGCCTCATCCATCCACCCTTTCTTGTGGAACGAAACACGGAGGGACTCCGGAACGATGAGATCTTTCGGACTCCGGACCCCTTTAAAGATGACCTTGGGTGGAAGTTTTGTTCCACCCGCAGCGATGGCAAGTGTAACAGTGAAGCTCCTCTTTTCTGCTCTGCAGGTTTTTACCGGAACCGTTCGGCTGTCAGTGAACTCCAGCGAATGCGTTGATGGAGGTTCGGAGCACATCGGTGTCTCATCCATGTTGTAAATCCTAGAAGTTCTGATACCAGCCAAGGGAGCCCTTCTGGTTGTGGCAAGATTTGTTTCACCGAATCGTTACTCTTGGATCACTTGGAAGAATTGTTTGTAAGCCATCCCCCCTATGATTTATTATTGCTACCGGGCATGACAAGATGGATTTCGAGACATGAAAGATGCTGGTGTGCAATTTCATGAAGGGATTCCAGAGTCAGACCATCTCAAGTCATGTTTTCTGAAGGATGGATTACTCGAGTTAGACAATCTGAAGGCAGAGGGAGGTGATGACAATGCATTGCTAGACTTATTCACCAAACACTCTCATCATCAAAATATCACCGTGTTGTACTTGCGCCAAGAACATGTTTCCACCAGGGAAATATGCTAAGAGTATTTCCAGGAACGCCCACTACATCATAGCCTTCAAAAATCCAAGAGATCAATTAGGGATAAAGAATTTACTGCTTCAAGCTTTTCCCACTTGCTGGCAAGACATGATGGACACGTATCAAAAAGTGGCTGAACGGCCGCTGGGTACACGGTCCTGGATTTACATCCAGTGATGACAGGAGACACATGTTTAGTCACCTCCTGACGCACAATGGATACCCGTGCTGACATCGAAGAAAGAGAGAGGATGTCTGATCATTGACTAAAATGGTATGTTAAATATCAGTTTAATCCACTTTGCTCATTTGAGCCCGCTATCTTGGGTGAAGGTCAACGAGAATCATGGGTGATCGTTCAACAGATATTTTTGGCCCCGTGGAAGATAA